TCTTGAGAGATGTCAGGACTCGAAGCCTCCTGTGATGTGGCGTTGGCTCCTCGCCTTCTGTGTTCATCCTGTCTCTTCCCAGAGTCCCAAGGTCCACATTAGTCCTAGGAATGGCTTCAGGGTGTTCTGGGGAATGGTGCTTCTCTGAGGGGAGATAAGTAGGATCACTGTTTTTCTCACACAACATTCTATAGAGCTTCTGTGGGATGTGCTTTCATGTAAACTGGTAAGTGCTGTACGGGTCTGGAGAGAAAAGAAATGAGAGAAACTGCCCCCCTCCCTGCCTTTAGCTAGATATTAGCTTGGAAAGGGGGAAGCAGGGGGTAGTGGAATCTCAGGTCGACTCAGGAGGTCCAGCTGACCAAGGAGCAGGAGCAGCAGCAGCGGCTGCCCCCCATTCTCGTCTCCACCAGCCCACACCCTGAAAGGCAGTAGGGTGACTTGCAATGTTCTTATTCTGTTGGGGGCCCCTCCCTCATGAAGTAAGAACTTTCTGTTCATTCTCTCCTGTAATTAAGAGAGGGAAATGCACAGAATTGAGAACTAAAAGGAAAATGTTTGCCAGAAAGGGGAAGTGAAACCTCTTCTGCTTCATGCTAAGGCCACGGCATCCATGAACTGCTTGTCAACAGCACAGCCTGTCGTTTCAGCCGTTAGCATGCAGTTTGTCCAGTGCTCGTGATTTGTGGGAATGTGGAGAGAAAGAAATCTGTCTGGCGCCCACTGCTCTCGGGTATCTTTGTCCCCTCCAGGAGGAGAAGTTTGACTTCGTATTCTTTGTGCTCTCAACAGTCTCAGGACCCTCCGGATAGAAGCCGATTGGGAGGTTAATTGGGGTTAAAATCTCATTTCTAACTCAGACTCTTCCTTGTGATGTGCAGGCGTTGTGGACGGGGCTGGAATGGACCGGAAGTCTCTGGCACAGGCTAGGTAGGGGTGGAGGAAAGAAGAGAGCGGGAGGGAAGGCGGAAGGGTGGCTAGTCAGACCTGGAAGCTGAACGGGCCCAAATGAGCAGCGCTGCGTTGCCTTCCACTGCGGAGCAGCCTGCGCCAGGCGCCCTGCCCACCCTCATTTCACCCTGGACTTCTGCCTGGAGAAACTAATGGCCATGAGCTCCATGGTACAGGCGGGGAAACCGAGGCTCGGTGCAGGTTGGTGCTCAAGGCTGCAGTTAGTGAGTGGGCAAGCCACGACCCTGGATTCCGTGTTCTCGGAGCTCAGTGCTCACCCTCACTGCTGGCTACGGTGGCTGTTGACCCCAACTTGAACCCCAGCCCAGACACTCTCCCATAATGCCGTGGCACTGTTCCTGGGCAGCTGGGGCTGAAAGGAAGAGCTTCTCGAACACACTCAGTCTGGATAGGCTGGGAGTCAGTGGGTCACAGGTCTGGAGTTCACAGGGGGTACCCTGGTTCTCCACTGAGGTTCTAGGGAGAGAATAAAGTGACAGGAAATACGGAGGAGGGCCTGAGGAACCAAAGGAAAAGCAGGGTGAGTGCATGAGAGGCATTCTGGTGCCATTGCAGGGGGGAGCGGGGAGGGGAGGGTCTGGTAGGACTCAGGACCTGGCGGGGGGTGGGGGGCACTGCGGTTGTCCTGGCGGGAACTGAGAACCATCTGGGAGGTGGGAGGTGGGAGGTGCCTGTGTCCTCTCCCACCACAGAAATCTTGTTTTAAAATCTGAGTTGCCATGGAAGTGCTACCATTCTCTGCCAGCTTATGATTTGACATCTCAGCAGGTGACTGAGCACCCCAGGGGTACCTGGGGATGCTCCCTTGGCCCTTCAGGAAGCATTCTGCCGGGACGGCCCTCTGCTCGAGTTTCTCCTGTAGCAGAAAAGTGTTAAGATGCCCAGTGTCAGTCAGGGGGCGTTGATAAAAGGAAGGAACCCAACTGCTTTGCTCCCCAGATTGCTCTTTGCCCTTTTCACCATTTGAGGACGCAGCAAGAGAGTCACCTAACAGTTTGGAGGTTGCGTGGGTCCCTGACATGGGGTCATGTGAGTGGCAGCCTCCCCATGAGTCACAGAAAATGGGAAGGTTAAGTGCTCTGAGCGGAAAGTCAAGCAGGGAGGGAGCCTTGCTGGTGGCCAGGGAGATGCCTGTGAGGGCACGTTAAAACGGCGCTTTCAGGGGCGGGCAGCAGGCGGGCTTCGGTAGCTCAAACTGTTCTTAAAGAACATGGCTTCAAATATAATGTGTTCATTTTTTAAAAAAAGAATATATAGTGAAAAACAAGTTCCCCTGTTCCACTTACTACTTTTGTGTGTTTTTCTTAAGGTTTTATGTGGAGTGACAGGAATATACTCCTATGTTGCTTATTGGGTTCACAAGTTTAGCATGACTCACCTGCGGAGTATATCTTGGGCGTATTTACTTTATAGGTACAATGGTACAATATGATTCATTTTAAACTAGTTTGTCTCTGAAGGAGCTGCTTTGTATCCAATTATTTCACCATTTACTCTGTTACTCAACACTGACTGGGTTTCTGGTCTTCTACTAATACAGAGACTATTGAGGGAACATCCGTGAACCAGTGTATTTCCATTTTGAGGCTGGTAGGATAAATTTCAAAGTATCAGATTGCTGAGTCAGAAGGCATGCAGATTAAAAAGTTGATAGACATGGCCAGGTAGGCCTCTGCATCTTGGTCCCTGCCACCGGGCAGTGCGACAGGTCTGCTTCCCCACATCTGACCCCTGCCCAGCACTATCGAACTGTCCTGCCTTTGCCACTCTGATGGAAGATAAATATCGCCTTAACCTTATCTGTATCTGCCTGTGGATGAGCCATCTTCTAATACCTGTGTTGGCTATTTATAGTCTTTTTCTGTAAATTCACTGTGCATGTCCTTTTGCCATTTTTCTGTTCCACTGCTTCTATTCTGATTTTAAGAGCCCTCTGCATGTTAAGGAAACAAAACCATAAGTATATGTAAGCCTTAATGTATATGTCACGTTTTGTTATTCTAGAAGAGACTTTATTTTTATATCATCCGATATTTTCCCTTTAAGGTTCTGTTTTATGTCAATCTTAGGCATTCCTCACTCCAATATTACATTTTTAAAAGTGCGTTTATTTTCTTCATACTACTTGGTGTTTTTAGTCAAGACTTTTGTTCCATCGCACTTTTTGTGTGTAAGGAATCTAGCGTGAAGATTTAGCCTTACTTTTTTTTTCCGAAGTGCGTAGCTAGTTGTGCAAGCACCATCTACAGATACACGCAGTTTTCTCGCTCGCCTCTCCCACGCACACTGAATTCCCCACACAGGACATGCTTTTGAAAGGTCTGTTGTCTGTTTTGTTGATCAGACTGGCCCGGGCCAGCATCGCCTGGGGGTTACAATGTGTTTACCACGAGGACCAGGCCTCCTTCCTTCTTTTTTCTGCAACTGTCAACTCTCTTCCTCTTTCCTTTCTTTGTTACCCATATGCATTATAAGCAGACGAATTGCTGCTTAAGCAACAATTAAGTTTAAATAGTCCCTCAAATATAATTCACTGTGTGGCAGGTAGTATGTTAAGTCCTGTCATCTTCATGTCACCTTCACGGGAAAGCTCAGCACACACATGCTCACAGTCCCCATGGTATGGGTACTCCACAAGGCCCAGCCGTGGTTTGGCACCGGGACACATTTCTTGTTTTCATAGAGCTGCTGGCCTGAGAGCATGATTCAGGGGCTGAGCTGGAAATCTCTGATCTCCTGACTCACAGCCAGTCCTGCATCAAAGGGCCATAGCTGTGGGGTAATGGTTTCCCTTCCTGGAAGGCCTGTCTCTGGAACCGGAAGCAGAGCCCTTGGCCAAGTGGAAAAACCAGAGAAAATCACAGGAGGCTGGTGCCAGTGGCCAAACCAGATCTGTGCCCCGGGCTCTCCTGAGAGGTGCACAAGCTGACCTTAGCTTGGCTTGTGTTTTGCTTGTTTTGCATCCAAAATGTGGCCCATGAAATTTTTTTGCATTCTTTTAATCCAACTGTGACGTAATCACAGAGACAGGCTGTTGACTCTTTCAGAGCAGTAACTTGGGAAAAGTCTCAACTTTGTCCACACATCCATGGAGAGGCCAGTTAGTGATAGTGGAAAGAGCACTGGACTCAATTTAGCCTGAAGATGCAGATGTATTTAGTTGTGTAGGACAGACTGTTAGTATTGCTCGTTGCCTGGGCCCTGGGGCTTTCATAGACAGCAGGTCAGCCTGGGCCTGGTCCTCACAGCTCTCAAGGTAGTCTGGGCTGCAAACCAGCCATCCAGTGAATAGCACTCAGCTGCTCCGGGGCCTCACTGCAGGCAACGCCGTCTCTCTGCACCCCAGCTTTCTCTGTCTTGGTTCCCAACCACCTGTAGGAGAAGCACACGGTCCATCTTGGTCCATTCCGGCTGTTCCAACAGAATACCACAGACTGGGTGACTTCTAAACAGCCATTATTTCTCCCAATCTGGAGGCTGGAAGTCCGCGGTCAGGGCACCAGCGAGGCTCTGGGGGCACACTTCCAATCACAGACTCCTCACTGTGTTTTCACATGGTGGAAGGAGCAAGGGAGCTCTCTGGGTCTCTTTTGTGAGGGCACTAATTCCATTCATGAGGGCTCCACCCCCGTGACCTAGTCACCTCCCTGAGGCCCCACATCCTAATACCATCACCTTGGGGGATAGGGTTTCAACAGGAATTTTGGAAGGAACACAAGCATTCAGTCCATAACATGGCCTTGTGTGCTGCGGGCACAGGTGGGACTCTGAGACAAAGCCCAGGAGCCCGTGGGCACCGTAGGTCCTTGAGGGTTCTCTGCTGCTATACCCAGGCTTGAAAAAAGAGGTAATTGGGGGGACAAAGAGGGACAAGTAGCAGCCAGGACAAAAACATGGGGCTTATGACCACTAGGTTGTACCTCACCCAGAACCATGGGGCCTGAAGTGGTGCCCTTTTTGTATGTGGAGCACCTGAATGGAGTGGAGGAAAAGCAGCCTCTGATGTCTTTGTATCCTTTCCTTTCTAGGTGAATTTAGGATCCAGCTTCCAAAATGTGGCAGCTCTTGGCCACCCTCAGTTGCCTGGTGGTGCTGACCAGTGCGCGGAGCAGGCTCAATTTGCAGCCCCTGTCAGATGAGCTGGTCAACTACGTGAATAAACGGAACACTACATGGAAGGTGGGCTGCGGGGCCCGCTTCCTGCACGTTTCCTGTCCAAAGGCTGCGCGTGGGGCACTCCGACTCCCGCAGCGGTGGCTGCAGCCGTGGCCCCCAGGGCGGTTGCAAATCCGATTCAGAGTCATGGCTGCTCGGGAGCTCACCCACCTCCCCCGCGCCCCCCCATGCCTGTGTGTGTGTGTTGCCCCTGTGGGCACATGGAGGGGTATGGGGAATAAACAGGCTTTGGAAGCACCCTAAATGGGTGTCCCATGAGCTCCACTGGCGGAGGTGTTGTGGCTCATCAATACTAGCAGCTCCTTGATTCTATTTTGCCCAGCCCTAAGGCCTGGCACTTTGGGAACCAAGAAAGGAGGAATAGGCCATCTTCAGGGCTGCAGGGGTTCTCTCTTGACATTAGCAAAAAGAAGAGACACCCACTGCACTGAGTGTTGGACACGACCCACGCAGTCCCTCTGGACTGGCCCTGGCCTGCTCTGCTGGGTGCCCGTCTTTGTCTGTTCAGGACACGGTCACACAGTGCCAAACACTGGGTGGCTCATAAACAGGAATTTTTTGCTTACAGCTCTGGAGGCTGGAAGTCTAGGCGCAGGTGCCAGCACAGTCAGGTTCTAGTGTGGGCCTCTTCCAGGCCGCAGAGGGCTGGCCTCTGTGTCCTCACTCAGTGGGAGGGGCATCTCTAGGGTCTCCTTTAAAAGGGCACTAACCCCCTTCTTGAGGATTCTGCCCTGCAGACTTAAGGACCCTCCAAAGGCGCACGTCCCACTATCACCCCATTGCAGCTTAGGTTTCACCATGAATTTGGGGGAAATTTGGTTTGTGGCCGTAGACCGGCCCCTTCGCTCTGCTGAGTTGAAAGGGATGCCTGGCCTTGTCCAGCCTTGAATGAGGACAACGTGCGTACTCTCACCCAGCGTGTCCCCGGGACGCCCCTCTGCTGGTGGGTGACTTGTAGATGGGCTCTCTTCCAGGCTGGACACAACTTCTACAACGTGGACCCAAGCTACGTGAAGAAGCTGTGTGGCACCAAACTGGGTGGGCCCAAGCTGCCCCAGAGGTGAGTGCCCACCCACGGGGGCTTGAGCAGCAGGTGTGTGTTTGGGACAGTGGGAAGGAGGGAGGAGAGAAGGCCTGTCTGGCGTCCACGGGTCTCACTCCTGCAGAGACTCTGCTCGAGGGACAGGACTCGGCACCCAGTGCCACTGTTTCTTTTAGTGCTTCTCCAGGTGGCTCAGAGCCCCAGCGGGAAGGTCCCAAGTCTGGGTCGCCACAACCTGGATGGGCCCAGTATTGAGTAAGGAAAATACAAGAAAAGCCATGTGATCTGCCATTCAAGTTTTACTTTTCTAGAAAATTTCGGATGTTTTCATGTAGACATTATGACTCTTATGGGAAGCATTAGAAAAATCTAACAGCGAGGATGGGATGGTGAAGCTACGGGACATCACACAGTGGTGAAGATATTAAAAATGATGTGAGGAGCCTGGGCAGACGCTTGTGGTCGGGCGTGGGGTGGGGGAAACAAGAAACACGGTTATTCGGACCCTGTGTCTAAAACTCTTGAAAAATAGCCATGAAATTAGTCTAAAAAGAAGCATGTGGAATAAGTTGTGTTAAGCAGTAGGATCAGGTTTTGTTTCCTAAAATTCCAAGGGGGATGCCCTGGCTGGGTGGCTTGGTTGGTTGCAGCATTGTCCCATATACCTTAACATTGCGGGTTCAATTCCCAGTCAGCGTACATACCTAGGTTGTGGGTTTGATCCCCATTTGGGGCACATACAGGAGGTAATCATATGATGTTCCCCTCTCTCTCTCTCTCTCTCTCTCTCTCTCTCTCTCTCTCTCTTCCCCCCCTCCCTCCCCCTCTCCCCCACCACCCCTCCTTCCCTCTACCCCTGGTCCTTTCTTCTATATGTTGTGGGCCTCACCTTTCTAGGTGACGGTCCGCAGTCAGCTGGCCTTTGTAGGGATGGGATGGGGGACAGCACAGATGGTAAGATGCAAGCTAATAATGGAGACCTTCTTTTATCCAGAGTTCAGCTTGCTGGGGACATAGCTCTGCCTGAAAACTTCGATGCCCGAGAGCAGTGGCCACAATGCCCAACCATCAAGGAGATCAGAGACCAGGGTTCCTGTGGCTCCTGCTGGGTGAGGCCCTGCTGGCCGGGAGTGGGTAGGGCCAGCGCTGGGGGTGGTCTGGGGGTGACCCGGAGAGCCGGGATTGGACCAGCTGTGACGAGGCACATTGCATAAGCTTCCTGAGTCTCAGTCTTCACCAGTATGAACGTAATCAAGATCCCCATGACTGTGAGTTACTGCAAGGACCAGGCAGAAGAAAGAATGTGTGAGGCACCCTTGACAGGGCACGGCCTGCGTGTGGGTTGTGAAATGTTTTTATTTCTCCGTCTGACATGCTGTGCTGGTCCATCAGCAAGTAGCATCAGTCTTGACTCCTACTCGACATCATGAAGACTCAGCCATTCTATATCAATGAGCTGTCTTAATTTTGTTTGTTTTTTTTAAATCTGTGGTAAAATAATATAAGTTGAATCATCGTAGTTGTTCTCAGGTGTACGGTTCAGTGGCGTTAAGCACATTCCGTTGCGTAGCCATCACCACCATCCATCCACCCCCAGAGCTCTTGTCTTGGAAAACCAAAGCTCTGTCCCCATCCGTCCTCCCCTTGGCCCCCAGTGACCACCCTTCTACTTTCTGTCTCTATGACTTGGGTTAGCCTGGGTACCTCATAGGATATTTGTCCTTTGTGTGAGTTGTGTGTTTAAAAGTCAAAGCTGCGTGTTTCAGAAATGAACGGAGTGCTACCCACAAGGTCTGAGGTGCCCACTGTGATCCTCCAAGGTGGTGGCTGGGGGGCCCCGCAGCCCAGGAGTGGGGCTCACCCAAGTGGGGCTTGTTTCTGCAGGCGTTTGGGGCTGTGGAAGCCATCTCTGACCGGATCTGCATCCTCAGCAATGGGCGTCAAAGCGTGGAGGTGTCTGCCGAAGACCTGCTCACCTGCTGTGGCTTCCAGTGTGGAGAAGGGTGAGTCTGAGGCAGCACCTTCCACCGAGGGAGCCCAGGCCCCTGGAAATGGCACTGGGTAGGGGGGACGTCCCTGGGCTGAGGCGGCCTCCGGTGGGGAGCCACCGAGGCTCCCTGGGATGCGAGTGGCACGCCTTCAGGACGGTCGGTGGTCAAGCGTGGCTGCTGCTTTCTGGGAGGTTCCTGAAACCAGGCTGGCCCCATAGGACTGGCTGTGGACAGTGGGTTCTAGGCAAAACAGATGGGCTCAAGACACGTGCCTGAGATCTGGTTTTAGTCACCCCTGTTCCATTTTCCTGCTCCAGGAAGTGCCTCAGGGCCTTTTTCCTTCTCTGTAATTAAGGGTAGTGGTTCCCTAGATTGGCCATACTGCCTTGGTGCTGCCCTCTTAAAAAAAGAAGAAGAAAAAAGGTGTGTCCAGGCCTTACCCCACACCAGTTAGGTTAGAATTTCTGGCCTTGTGTTTCTTTCAGTACCCGGAGAGTTCTCTGGGCTACCTGATTCACAATCCGTGTCATAGAAAGGACACAACCTGGTTTGCTATAGACATGAATGTGAACGTCCTGTCTTCCTGAGGGTGTTGACGGGTGGGGCATGGGGGAGAACTTGGGTGATTCCCTGGAAAAAGGGACGGTCCAGGGATGATGAATTGGGGGTCTCTGGGGATGTGGGACAACTGTTGGGCCAGTTGCCAAAGGCAGTGGCGGACCCACCAGGCAGTGGTCTGGGAGCAACCAGCACCTCTCATGATGACTACGATGACTGTTAATGAACGGCTCTTTTCTTAGCTGCAATGGGGGCTTTCCCTCCGGTGCTTGGAACTTCTGGAAAAAACAGGGCCTGGTGTCCGGTGGCCTCTATGACTCCCATATAGGTGAGTGTCTGCCCTGAGTCCCTATCTGGCCAGATGAGTTTTATAAGCAGTGAATAATAATGGTCTTGTTTTCTACTGTAAAGCGAAGGCTGAGGGCTGAGGGTTGAGGGCAAGAGTGCAGGGCTGAAAAATAGGGTAGAAAGACCAGCCCATCTCCTCAATGGCAGAATTAGCCACGGGTGGGAGGACAGGCCCAGGCTGCCGACTGGAGGGTAACTGCTGTCCCCCCTAGTCACCACCTCCCCCCACCGCCCCCGCCACCCTGATCCTTTCTGGCATCGAGGGCCCTATGTAGGGGCTGTTGGCCGACACCCTCCTTTCTACTTGGTCACAGGTTGCAGACCCTACTCCATCCCTCCCTGTGAGCACCACGTGAATGGCTCTCGGCCCCCATGCACGGGGGAGGGGGGAGACACCCCCAAGTGCAGCAAGATCTGCGAGCCGGGCTACAGCCCATCCTACAAAGAAGACAAACACTTTGGTAAGCATGCCGGCCGGAGACCTGCTGACAGCCTTCCCCAGCCAAGAGGAGGGAGGCCAGAGCGGCCTCATCTTAGTATCAGGGACCCAGGTCGGAGAAAGGAAGGGCATTAATGCCTCTCTTGCCGGCCTGTTGTGTGTTCTGTCTCCGCCCTGAATTCCGTATCAGGAATGTTGCCTTCGAGTCAGACCCTCAGAGTTGGAGGGCACCAGAGCCCTCTTTTTACAGGGGAGGGACCTGGCCTAGTCCTCCTGGGTCCCATTCTGCCCTCCAAGGGCATGGTCTCCCACTTCTCAGCTTCCAGATCCAGCTCAATCACTCCTCCCTCTGGGGGGTTCCCTAATCACCGCCATTCCCTCCATCCTCCGCAACCCGCCTCCCAGGCCTGGCGAGTCCCCGAGAGGCTCAGTCTTCACCTGGTGGCTCCCCGTAAATCAGTGCATGATTCACGGGTGCTGCGGGAGGCACGTCTCACCCCACTTACTGGTTCATTTGCCAGGATGCGACGCCTACAGCGTCCCCAGTGATGAGAAGGAGATCATGGCAGAGATCTACAAAAACGGCCCAGTGGAGGCAGCCTTCTCGGTGTATTCAGACTTCCTGCTGTACAAGTCTGGTGTGTGCTGACCCGATGGCCACAGCGGGAGGGGGGTCTGGGTTCAGGTGGGCCCACAGGGCTTGCGCAGAGGAGGAAGGCAGGGTGTCCGGGAGCAGGGTGGTGTCGGGGCTCCCCCATCCCTCCACAGCTCGCCTGATGCTCTAGTCGCAGCTCTCAGCGGCTGCCCCTGCTCTGCCCTCTTGCACCTGTTTGCCTCGTCTGCACATGCTATTCAGATTCCCTCTCCCAAGTGTTTCTATTAATATACGACGGATTCCCGCTCATTCCATTCACCCCATAACAGCCAGCTCTCAAGTATTTTCTCAGGGAAGCCTTTCCTCACCTCCCTGCAGCCTCTGGCTCCCACCTCCATTCACCTCCACTGCTTTATCGGTTTATTCTTCACATTGTAACTGTAGGTTGTATGTGCCTGGACTGAGTGACCCTCTTGACTCATCTTTGTCTTGGCAAAGCCCTAGCATCATGCCAACCATCTAATGGATGAGGAAGCAGGGGGCACCTGCTGTGTGTGATGCGGTGGTGACCTGAGATGGCACTCAGCCCCGAGAACTGCCTTACTAACCCCCGTTCCAGATGAGCAGTCTGTGCTAACCGCTTCTGTCTCGTGTACATTCTGCTAGATTGGAAACTTCAAAGCTCTCAATGCTTATAAACAAAGTATAGACAAAGGAAGATAATTTCTGGAAAGAAAAATACTTTTTTTTTTCACTTTTTTTTTACTGTATTTTTTTTTCCATTGCCATTTAGTCCCCTTATACCTCCCTCCCCCTGAGAAAAAAATATATGTATAAAACTGGTAGTGCGTAACACAGTCCCCACCCATGTTATAAAAGGATACATTTCTAGCTTGACTGAGTGATTTATGAGGGGATAGTCCGGTTGGCCAGCCCTCTGAGCTCTTTAGCTGGTCTCTCTCTCCATCGATTGGATTGACAGTGGCTGCTACCAACTCAGCCTGTCTCCTGCATCACCGCTCCAGGGTGACCCCAGAACAGCAATTTAACTCTTTCAGCCACAGGATGCTTTGACAAATAAATCATTACATAGAGTTCCAGTTACATAAAACAGACAATTCATGTTTTAACATTAAACTTATTTCTTAAATTAGAATTTATAACTCTAGTTTTAAAGGTAACCAACAAGCATGTTTTGTTAGCCCCATTTTAATATTCATGTAACATTTTTGTGTGTGTCAGTCTTTCAAAAATATATTTAAATAATTGCCGCACATAGAACCCAGTTTGAAAACAATGGCAGGCCTTTGGGGCCCTCTGGCACCGTCTGCCCTGACTGGGGACACCAGCTGAGTTGGACGGATACTGTGAGAGATGGGGCAGCGGCTTGGTCTCAGCCTGAACGGCTTTCTTCCTTCCCCAGGAGTATACCAGCATGTCACTGGAGAAATGGTGGGAGGCCACGCAGTTCGCATCCTGGGCTGGGGAGTGGAGAACAACACCCCCTACTGGCTGGTTGGCAATTCCTGGAACACCGACTGGGGTGACAATGGTGAGTGGCTGCTCCCTTCCTGCTAAGAATAGGGGGTTAAGAACCAGAACACAGTTGTCATCTTGTCTTCCTTTGCTCTGCCCACTGCACAGCTCCAGCCCTAGGCCTTGGGCTTAGCTGTGACCTTCCAGGTGTCCAGGTGTTAGTGGCCTGGGGTTTCCGTCTGTCACAAGGGTGGCTTCTGACCCCAGGAGGGTGGAAGCCTCAGATCGCTGTGCCTTCCAGTTCCCCTTGTACCAGGTGCAGCGACGGGGTACTTGGGTCGAAAGGAAGTAGCATCCAGTGGCTTCATGATGGGGAGCTGGGCTGCTGGACAGACTGCAGACTCTGCTAGAGCACCCTGCTGTCAGCCTAGAGCTGGTTTGCTGTCTATCTCGGGGCTAGCCTGGTGACTTCGGCTCCTGGGTCTTTCAGGGATGAGCCTGAGTATGCTGGCAAAAGCCAACACTCAAGGCACACTTTAAAGGCACCTTACTTATGCTTTCCAGGCTTCTTTAAAATCCTGCGAGGACAGGATCACTGTGGAATCGAATCAGAAATCGTGGCTGGAATCCCATGCACGAAGCAGTACTCGGAAAGGATCTAACCTGCTGTGGGCCCTTGCAGCCAGTCCTGGGTGGTTTTTCCCTAAACATAGCCAGTAGGACTGGGGATGAGAAGAGGGATAGGAATGCCTTTTATTCTTTGAGGTCAAGTAGGATACAAGAGGTTTTAGACAGGACGTGAAGGACTGGACTGGGCCAAACCTTGTGTCTACCACGAGAGCTCTTCCAAGGAGACACATCCAAGGCCGGGCTACCTCCCAGCCATTCAGTGGACTGTTGTCACAATGCACTTAGACCACATAAGCCACCGCTGCAAGCCAAGCCGATCCTTCCCCCGTAGACTAATGCTGTTCTGGCTCTCCCTGCAACCACCTCCACATCCATCCTCCTTCCCCGTCTGTGCATCACCAGGGAGCACGACAGGCCTGAAGGGTTTGTAGATTTTCCCAAAGGATGAAATTGATTTCCTAACAAGGCAGCTTTCCACCCATCAGCAGTACCTCCACGCCAGTAGCTTTCTAGATTTGGAAATAAGTCGAGAAGAGAAATAGTGGGGCAGCCCTTTGAAAAAAGCCACTCTCCCAGGGCCCCTGCATCTGTTGAGCTTTGCAGTGCTGCTAACCTGCTCTGATCTTGTCCTTGGCATGATTCTTTTTTTAAATAGAAGTTTTATTTTTTTGTGTGCCTCAACCAATCATGAGAATGGAAGTCAAACAGTTTGAAGAGCTGTGCTAGTTTTACAGACTGTCTCCTTAAAACAAAAATGGGTGGTCTCGATCTGACTGACCTACTGACCTCTGATGCTACAGTGAAATAGTTTGGGAGAAACCAACTTTTGTTGTTACAAATCACTGCTTCGCCTGTTCAATCACAAGGAATGGAATGACTGTGCCAATAAAAATTTCCTTCAATGTGAAGTTTGTGTTGAGGTTGGATCTCCAAGATCATTTGTCTCCACTGTAGACATAGCCGCTGCTGTCCACACTTATCCCCCAGAAAGAATCATGTTCTTGTGGATCTGGATGCTCTTTAGACTCTAATCAGGGCTGTCTTGCTTCAAATGGGGGGAATGAAATAAATGCCTTATTTTGGCTTCTCACTGCTCTAGTGTACTTTTAAACCATGGCTATAATCTCTTGCATTCCCTGTCATTCTTGGCAACCCTTCTCTGTAAACGCACCCCCACAGTGTACCCAAAGCATGATGAGCTCAGCCTGTGCTTAGTGTTATGAACTTAGTTGTTTCCTTTTTCCTAACAACAAACCAACAGAAACCGATGGATTTAAATAGGCGTGTTGTATTGGTGATGTCATAAACCTGGTGTCCCGCTAGAGAACCAGCTTTCCCTGGTTCCCTCCCGTGCTGGGATGGGGGTGGAGGCAGAGCCTGCGTGTGGTGTTCTGAGTTCCGTCTGATTCTTCAGGGTGCACTGCTGGGTAAGAACTCTTTCTTTGGATAGGCCTTGCTAAGGATCATAAGCAATGAAGGGCACCAGTTCTTGAGGGAACGGAGGAAACTAGAATAGGCATCCATCTCGCTGGCCTGTCAATACTTCAAGTTATTTCCTTTCCAGAATGGAAGCTGGACTAGGCTTTTCCCAAAATCATGCCAAATTTGCCTTCTGATGTGACTCAGAACACTTGGTGAACATTGTAAGAAAAATATGTGAAACTCATCATAGCAGGTACGAGATGGTTAGCAAGAATTAATCACACCTATAAATCTGTGACCATTTTATTGAATGTAAACCAATTATAACTCCAATGAAATTCTGACATTCTGCCTACTCCCAAACTGAGTAGCAGTTCCATTTCCACATACTTTCTCCTCCCTCCACCATATCGCCTACAACTCCATCCCTTACCCTGAAAGCCAGCAGAGATCTACTGAATAGTGTAACAAAATCAGTTGCAGGTCAGCCTCACACTTGGCATGAGTCTTGATGGAAAACCACCATAAAAAATAAAAATTTCGTAACTGGGATCAGTATCAATACTTTAATAAACTTCAAATTACTGCCATTGATCATTACACCTCACCAATAACCTCAGCTACTTCCCTGAGGAAAATGTAACAAAATATTCTGAGAGTAGTAATCAAGTGGACTGTATGCCAGGAACACTATATATTTGATTAAAGTGAGAGCCAAGTTGCCAATAAAGGACGCCCAATTTGAATTTCAGATTAACAAATAATTTTTATATAAATAGGTTCCATGAACTATTTCAGGTATTTATACTAAAAAAAAAAGTTTATCTGAAATCCAAGTTTAACTGGGTTTAACCTGCATTTTTTCTGGCAGGTTCAGTAGAGAAACATTTAAAAGGGAAGCATCTGCCAAAGAACTTTGGAGCTGGAATGAGGTCTAAGACCTTTGCACCTTTCGGTGATAGTCAGAATTATGGAGCTTTATAGCTGGGAAAGACCTAAGAGATCCCCTAACCCACAGAGCAGCTCAGCAAGGCTCTGTCCACCGTGAACTTAGCAGAACTAATCTTAAGATTTCAACACAAATTTTTAACAACCTACCCTTGAGTCTCAAACCAAGTTTTGATGCTTTAAACTACTGGGAAGATTACTGCTGAGTCTGACTCACAGCTATATGGCAGGTACGTGGCAAGTCACTTTAGTTTGTCAAGAATTAAGCCTCAAATGAACCAGTTAACTGAAGCCTCCATGGACCAAAAAACTTAAGTCTGTGTCTGATGGTGATGGCTGTCAGAGCAGGAAAGTCGGTGTGGATACGTGCAATTTCCAGCAGTAACAGTGCAATCTAACATTACTTCTGGGAAAACCTTAAATTCAAGAAGTCGCTGTAATAAAGGACTGAAGCAAAAAAGGAGACTGTATATCAAGCAGTGAGACAGCTTCCAGAAAGCAGTTGAATGCCTGACAGCAGTGATTCTCAGCGCGTCACTGCGGGTGCGAGTCCATCACCAGCCTTGGCTGTGCCAGTGAGGAGGAAGGCGAACTGCAGCGCCCGAAGAACCAGGCCAAGCACCACTCAGCCTTCAAGCCAATCCCCTGAATAGCACTTTGCCTTTCTTGAGACTTCAGTATGTAAACTGGTAATTAAAAACAGCTGAATTTACAGTCCTGCATCCAGCTAAGAGAATTGGCGCAACGTCAACAGGCTGTCGGTCAGTGCAGGCTACAGGCTGGAGCGGGGAGGTGACGTGGCCACTCGCTCCTTCCCCAGCAGGCGCTCATACAGGGGCCGGGCGGCTGTGTCCCCTCTCGGCACTGCTTGGGGTGGCTCTGTCGTGGCAGCAGCTGGCTGTCTGCCCCTCAAACACTAACTCCATTCTTGAATTCCTTACCTGCCTATTCACCCTGGCTTTCAAGTGAACAGCCCTTGACAAACGCAGAGTAAGTGAATTCGTTACTATAAAAATCTCAAAACATATCAGCCTTACCAGGAGCCCAGTCTTTAACAATGGGGCCAAGGTAGTGTTGCTGTTCTTTTCAGAGAGTTAAACTCTTCAAAGAAGAAAATAAAACCAGAACACCCAAAGTTAATTCCTAGCCTTCATAGGCAGAAGATGGTTAGCATTCTTGGGAAACACAGAAAAATTACCTAGAGCTATTAACTATAGCTACTACATTCAAATCAACGGAAGAAAACAAAATGAGAAAAAACAGGAAACACATAGAGAATTTCACATTTCTACTAGGATGGTTATTCAAAGGTTGCTTCAAATTAGGTGCACTTAACTGTAGTTCTAGCCAGGACTCACCCTAAGGTCTTCCAGCAGTCCCACATGCGGCCACTTCCCCTGACTTGCAGCGCTGAGCCCTCGGCCATCAGCCACCATGTGCAGATGTGCACAACCTACAAGTACCAGGTGCCGAGAGGACATACCTTCTTTTATTCTTACATTCTCAGCTGTCTAAAAGTTTCTCAAAATCCAAGCCCACAGATTTCTTACAGGATTAAAACAGGAGGGGAGAAAAGAGGGGAAGCCAATATTCATCCTTGAAAAATGTCAGTCCATTTCATGGGGGAACAAAAATTTCATGGGGGAACAAATCAGTGTTCCCCGGTCTGGAGATAGTCTTCAGTAACCTGGGACAGGGTGCTCACGTACTGCCAGCTCAGAGCAGCCAGGAGCATGACGAACGACAGGTAAATGGGGGAGTAGTGGCTTCGGGAGATCAGCTGACAGCTGGGAAGATTCTGTGTCCTGATCCTGGAGATGATCTCCCTGGTTTTAGTAGAAGATGAGTCTGAGTCGGGGATCCTGTGGTAGATCTGTTCAAGAAAGGGAACACAGTTAAGTGCCACTTACTGACTCCAGGGAAGTTTATACACATGTTCTGTGTTGATTTCTTACAACCACCCCAAACAGAGATTTTATGTCTATTTTACCAATGAGGAAACAACATGAAATCAATAACCCCAAGTCACTCCCCTAATAAGGCAGGATGTCACCCCAGGCCTGTGGAATCCCACAGCCCGTGCTGCCAGGGAGGCCTGAGCCCTGCTGCACGACGGGCCCCTACGGTCCTCAAGGATAATGTTCCCACACCTCCCAGAGCCAAGCGCACAGCAGATGCTTGGTAATGTCAGCAGAGTTTTTAAGACTGAAGCAGAATACCATGAAGAAGGGGAAACAACAGCAGAAAGGCTAGCAGACGCAGCTTAGGGCAGCCAGACTGAACGCGTGGGATGGGCAGTGGGGCAGATGAAAGGTCAGAGCAGAAGCAGGGCACGTGAGAGGCACCCTGGAGCTCTCCCAGCACCTCCACACCTCCTGCCCCTCCGCAAACCTCCTGAACCCAGTCCCCCTCCACATGCCTCCAGTTACCACCCCTGGTTCGGCCCCCAAGGACTCTCACCTGAGCTACACCGGCCTCCAAACTGAGCTCCCGCTTCTATGCTTAACTCCCAAAATCCACTTATCTGTTCTCCACACTGGCACAAAGATCTAAAACCTCCACCAGACTACCTCCGTGGCTCCCTATCACCAGCTGAGTGTGGTCTGAGCTCCTATTAGCATAACGCAAAGGCCGGCATGACCTGGGCTCACTGTGCTGCTCCCTCTTCTCCCGCAGGAAACAGCTGCCTGTGTTGGTTTACACGCATGCTCCTATGTTGTGCGCTGTTCCTTTCTTTGCTCGCTCCACTCCCTCCCCTGGAATGCTGCTCCCACATTCCTTCACCAGGCTAACTCTTACCTAGTGCCTAAGTCTCAATTTTGGAATTACGTTTTCTAGAAAACTTGGGCCCTGAACCCCCAGGGTGGGCCAAGTGCCACTCTCCCGTACATACTCCTACCTTATCTCTTACATTTAAATCATCTGTTTGTATTTGTCTCCCTAACTAGACTGCAAGCTCAAAGGCACCTTGTCTTACTTCTCATCTCCAGCCTAGCACTGTGTCTTCCATAAATGTGGCTGGCCTACCCGTACCCTCCATCCACACAGCAGGCCTGCCTTACATGTTTACTGACTCAGTGACAAACCAGTTAGGAGGTTAGTAAGATGCGAAGTGATGATGATCTGAGCCGAGATGTAGGCAAACTGGACGAAGAGGACAGAGCAGGCATTTTTAAAACATAATTGTTTCTCAAAATTTTCATTGTATAATGGGTATTTTTTCCCCACATTTATTCGTACCACCTTCCCTTTCCCTCCCCAAAAAGCACTGCTGCAATTTCATATAACAAAGAAATAAAAGAATATGCCTACAGGAATACGCTAGTGATGTCTAATAACTAATAGTACACTACAAAGGACAACACAATAGAAAACAGAGATGGGGATGAAACTACAATTTCTTTTTAAAAATTTAGATGATGGCATTATACCTGTAAAAACAAGGACTAGAAAAGTAAAAGAGTCAAAATTCCGTTACACTCCTCCTCCTTCTTGGTCACAGGCTGGTGTAGTTACTTTTACACCTACTCTCGCTATGCCCTGATAAGCCTATATATAAAAATGTATAAAATGTCGTATATACTCAGATTACTTTAAACAAAATAACTGATCGCTTAAATCAGAGGCCAGCTCTGTGGGTTACTGTCCGCTGCAGCTGCTCCATTCTGCACTGTTTTACTAGTAGGCCGACAGTATGGAAACCAGCAGGCATGACTGTGTTCCAATATAAAGTTATTTACAAAAACGGGGTCAGCCAGCCATGGCTGGCCTACCAGTACCCTAAAGCCAACTGTCAATCACAAGCAGGCTTTAACTCCAATAGTTAAGAAAAACACCAGATAAAATCCAAATTTTTATACAGAATTGCCCACAGCATTTTAAAAAAATGATTTTCTAAAGTTAGTGATTAAAAAAAGGCAAAACTAAAATATTCCCTGAACTAGACTACACAGAGTGTTTCTAAACCATATAAAATTGAGAAATAATGCCTAGAATGGCATTACAGTCATCCCATGGTGTATGTAGTGGATTGGTTCCTGGGCACCCCTAAGGACACCGAAATTGGCGGATGCTCAAATCCCTTATATAAAATGGCACAGCATTTGCTATTATAACCTACTCTCATCCTCCTGTGTAAACTTTACGTCACCTCTAGATTACTTAGATACAATATCTAATATGTAAATGCTATGTAAATAGTTATTCTGTATTATTTAGGGAATGATGACGGGCCGGGGCGGGGGGGGAGTCTGTACATCTTCAGTAAAGAGACATCCATTGCAGATTTAACTACATAGTACATGTCAGCAACAAGGTAACTTATTTTTTTCTGATTATTTTTTATCTGCATTGGTTAAATCCTAGATGTGTAACCTGAAGATATGGAAGGCCAACTGTATTCAGTATCAAAAGGTTAATTCAGCCCCTTAGAATCGTGAACAGCCCAGGCTCTGAAGTCAGCAAGGCCCAGGTCCAAATTATGGCTCCAGTGGGGTTGGTGCCTCAAGTTTCCTTGCTCTCATTTGTCCCAGCCTATTCAGTTGCTATGAAGGCACACAGTAAGCTCCAAATAAGTGCTGCCTATATGGTGAACTGGATGGTTCTGAGTCTCGTCGGCAGCAATTTTTTTGGTCAATGACTCAACACTTTCATCCAGTCACTAAAAGAATTTTAGGATTTTTTAAAAATTTAGTCTTCTCTTTTATCTTCTACAGGTGCCTCTGGTATAAAAGCTGAGGTCCAAAACTAGTCAGATAAAAAACAGGAAGGAAATACAAAGAGAATGTGCCGTATGCAATAGAAATCAGGGGAAATGACTGTTTTGTAGAATTCTGTTTGGATGAAACCGGTTACAAATCACATTCCTGTCAAAGTATAACCAGGGGATTGGAAGGATGCAGAAAACTATTGGCAGTGGTGATCTCTGGGATGGGAGGAGCAAAAAGGGTCATTTTATAGTTTCAAATACTTCTGTAGTATCTCAGTCTTCAAAAAGATTTTGAGGCCTTTACTTTCCAGGTGGCAAAGCCTCTAGATGTTGCCAAATGTCCCCTGTGGGAAAGGCAGAAGCAAAATCCCCTCCGTTTGAGGACCACCACTCTATGGTTGGTGATTAGAATTAGAACTAAAAAGTTCTTTTGAACCTAGTCATATTTTATTAGACATTTGACTTAAACCAGTATGTTTCATTTTATAGGATCGTTGTGCCATTTGAAATGGGATTTGCATTAGAAAATATAGAAATAATTGCAACTTGATGGTTTTCCTCTGCCAAAATTTCCTACTGTGGTTTCTCAGTTGAGGCCCATGATATAATGCAAAGTAGTGACTGGTGTCAGTAAATAAGGACTGGGGTCCAAGAACCACTCAGCCAGACAATTCATTAGCATACATAAGCCTCAGGCGCACACTCCTCACCTGTAAACAAGAAGCTTGGTTGGCTGAGACCTAACATCATCTCCTAGCTCAAAAAATAGGATTCTGCTTAGTAGTTCCAGCCTTGGTTCATTTAACTCCTCTCACCAGAGTCCTAGGCGGCTCTGAACAATGAGCTCCCTGTGTGCACACTTCTTTCCAAATAAAGGCCACCAATCCTATCTCTTTATGCCGTAACATGGAGTTGCTAGGATCATCTAATGTCCAAATGTGAAATGTTTACATAACTGAACACTATTTAAATCATAAAAATAGTTACAAATTATCCAGGTAGCTAAATAAAAGCCCACCTCTTCCATATACTGGTATAATAAAGCTTTGACAGCTGGCATGTTGGTGGCATCCATCATTAAGGTTGCTGCTTGCCCTTTTCGAATCTTCACTGTCCCTTTGAACACCTGCTGATTATTGTAACAGGCAGCCAAAGTAGCTATGGCCATTACCTAATAGGAAATAAGGAGAGAGGGAAAAAAATACTAAATCATTTCACTTCAGAAAATGAAAGAAATGGTACTGTAAGCAACCGTCATCATGAAAAGGTAAGGAAACCTTCTGTAGAATAAGAAAGATGAGCTTAGCCAAAGGGCTAAGATGTAACTAACCAAGAAAAAAATACCCATGAAGAAAGTATGTCAAGACTTTTACCTTTCCCACTCTTCCCCTTCTCAACAACACACAATAATCAAGTGGTCTTCGCAGTCTGAAATAATTCTAGAGTTTTGCTACGAAAAGTTGTATTTGGAAGAAATAAACACGAACCAATGCAACATTTACCATGTAGGGCAATGAGTTATTAAATCTGAAAACTAATCTCAGAAAAATTATATCTGATAAGATTTTTCTATTTTGCTTTCCTTTCTATTTTTCCTATAATGAACATAATCATTATACATTAAAATAGCATGGGAGGGGGTAGAGGTCCAATGAAAAGGGAAGGTAGTTTCCCATGCTCAAAGGTGAGTTATTTCTGGGATAAATGAAAACTTAAGTCAGGCATAAAGGTCTTAGCACCAACAACCATACAATCTTGATTGTCTATCAGAACATGATCAAAGTTTCGAAATCAGTTAAATCCTATGCCTTTCTTCACGAGTTGAGTTAAAAACTGGAATTGATAGAGACATTTTAAAAGTGTAAGATCCTAGAATATCAAAGGACTAGATCCACAGGATCAGGTTCTGTTAGCCTGGGACAAAGGAAAGAACAGCAAGTTTTAGGTGCTTAGTTAAGACTTCTAATTATTAAGGCTTCACCTACAGAGCGCTCCCCATAAACCTTGGAAAGGAGCAGACTTCACATCAGGGCTTAGCCGAGTGTGAGAGTCGAGGCAACGGCTGGGGTGGAGGGGCGGGTACTGTGAAACACTGCCTGCTCCCAGCAAAAGAAAATAAACGAGTCACCTTTTTAAAGATCTGTATTTCTGAATACAGCTGACCAAAGCAGTAGATGCATTCTGCCCATCCCCATCCCCACCACACCACTCCCTTTAGCCTCTGTCTCCCATAGACAACAAACAGCCTCCTTCCATACCTGAGGAATGGCACAAAAGTTAAACACACTTTGGTTTCTAAGTCTGGAAAGGTAGGTGATGACATCTGGAATGTGGTGTAGTGCATTGGTTACGAGTTCATTCAGACACTGCACGGCCGAGTCAATATTCTCTGGCTTTGCAAAATCGCCCAGCGTCTTAACATACTTGCTCCAAACCTAGGCAGATAAAAAGATCAAAAAACAAGTTAAGATGTGCACAAAGGAAAAACATACAAGCACTATGAGAAAATCTTTGTGAATAAGAACTATGATAGTTCCTTAGCTGCTGACTCAACTTTCACCAAGATCAAGTCCGTTTTAAGCTATACCCAATGGGTATTTATGACTACAAGTCAGGATCCAATTACAACCTAAGAGTATGGTAAGTATTTGGCAAAGTGTCCCTTTAGGACAATTAGTGCAGCATGTACTAAGCAATACTTTGTAACCTCAGACTGCCTCCTATTATCCGGAAGGAATCAGTCTATTGAAAAACATAAGGAGATATATACAAAATTGGCTACAATAGTTCAAGGCAAACAATCTCAAGATTGCCAGGCCTCAAAATAATTAATGATTAACATTACATTCCCAATTCTGATAAGAATGCTGATGAAGGAGCATATCTGAGGGGGAAAAAGGACTAGATTTATACCCTAAGAAAATTACCTCCATGGATCTTGGGAACCTGAAAGTGAAATAACATCCTCAATTTGAGATTCATTTGATACTTTTTAATAATTTTAGAGGACTCTTAGAAGCTAGCAAATAAATTACTTTTATTCTTGGGTAATTCTTAAGCTTCCTAAAGAATAACACTCCTCAAAATAAATGACTAGGCCTAAAAGGACTAAGAAATTCTATGGAAAGTCAAATTTGCTATCCATTCTTAACTTGCACCTAAACCCACGGAGACTACCATATTAGATTGTTCTGCAAAACCTGGAGAAAACAGACGCTATGTATCCATTTACCAACTTTAGCAATTATTGACACTTGGCCAAATCTTGTTCCATCTGTATGTTCCCCCAACCCCAGCCCAGTGTTGTTATAAATTACAGTCCTGGTATATCAGTTTATCCACAAATACTTTACTATGGGTTTCTAAAAGACTAGGAACCTTTCTTGTACACCTATCTGGTCACATCTAAAAATAAACAATAAATATTGAATACAAAATCCAAACTAGTTAGTGATCCCACTAACTAAATTTTCCCACTGTCTAAATTTTTCTGTCTACTTGATTTGTTCAAATAAAGACCTAAACAAGATTTATATATTGTATTTGGCTGATGTGCCTTAGGTCTGTTCTGCTCAATTTTCATTTCACTCCACAAGGAAGGGTCCAATCCTTGAAGAGAATCCTAGGTGGTCATTGTCCAGTTCAAAGGGGCGAGGCCACCCCAGCTCCCCCAGGCTTTGCCATAGCCGTGGGCTCACCACCGCTGGAGAAGGAACAACTCTCCCCATTTCGCCTGCTCTTCTCAAAGGGGCCCACCCTGCTGTCCAGGGAATTCCAGCTAGCTGTTCTGAGGCCTCTCCTGTTTTCGGGTGTGGCAGACACCCTGTAGCCGGCCTTGCTTTCTCCCGTGCAGGCTGTGGCAGCACAGATGTTTTGTCTGTGGTGCTGGTATTCTGTATTTGTGTTTTGGAGTTCCTGGGGACAATGTGTTGCTTAGTGGTTTTGTACATGCTGTCCATGAGCTGGATTCTAGGTTTTTTGTTTAGTTTGTTTTGCTGAGCTGCTTTCATCTTGTTTTGTAAGAATTTGTGAAAATCCAAAGACTAAGCTGCCGCCGCCACCACCACCATCTTCACAACACTTAAAATTCCAGCTGATAAGTGCAGAAAGGGTGACAGAATTAAGATAGCACCATTTGGATTCTCCAATGACAATGGATCTAGGCAGTGACCACCAAGGAAAAGAAAAAGAACTCATAACTTACAAGGAAAAGAAAATTAAGCTATTGTTAGATTTTTCAAGAGCCTGTTGAAAATCTGCTTCTTCTTTAAAGCAGAAGAAACGGCAGTAAAACATTTACGATACCCAAAAATGTGCGCTAAAATCTTTATATTCACAGAAACTGACCTTCAAATATAAAGAACACAGACAAACTATTACCACTATCTATAAACATAGGGAATTATGTTCTGATGGGCCTTTCCTGTCTGCCAGACCACGAACTTCAGAAAACCAAAATGACTAGACACTCCAACATAAAGACAGGTGGTGAGCACAAAACTAAGGCTAAGTAAGTGGAGTAGGGGAGATATTATAGTAGACGATGGCTTCTGATATGACAATTTAGATAGAAACATAACCGTATAGGCTAGCATATATAAAAAATATTTTCAGTTATTGTTAGCAAATCATACGTGGTTGAAAACCCACATTAACTTTTGATTCCCCCAAAACTTATCTACAGTCATCGCTCGGTATCCGTGGGATACTGTTCCCAGATACCAAAATCCAAGGATGCTCAAGTCCCTTGTATAAAATGGTGGAGAACAGTGCATACAGCTGGTGCTCTGCATACATGGATTCCCAACTGCAACTGAAAATACTATTGGTTGAATTGTGGAGTGTGCAATTCAAAACCCAAGGATATGGAGGACCAACCATATTATTTATTTAAAAAAAAGAATCAGCGTATACCCAGACCTGTGCAGTCTAAGCCCATGCTGTTCAAGGGTCAGCTGCAGTTCTGTCTGCTTCTGCTTTACAGAAGGCAGGGCGGGGCGGCGGCGGGGCAGGGAGGTGGGTGTGCACACAGGATCGCAGAGCTGGTGCTCCTTGGAGAGGCAGTGTGGTATTCTGGACAGGCACTGGGCAGAGCTGGGAGACTGGCTTTCCCTCGGGGTGATCACTAATTCCTTGGGAGTCCTTAGAACCTGTTCTCTTCTCTGAGCCATCGTGTCAAAGAAGCGGTGGTCAAGAGGTGTTTCTCAACCCTGAATGCATAATAGAGTCACCTGGGAAGCTTGAAAAACTATAGTGTCTCAGCTCAGGGTAGTTTTAATGTGAATTTTCCTTATTAAGAGTAAAACTGATCATCTTTTCAGATGTTTAAGGGTCATTTGCATCTTTCTGTGCACTAACTGTTCTTATCTCTTTGACCATTTTTCTACAGGGCACTTGGTCTTTTTCTTAACTTTTAAAAAACATTAGGAATATTAACCCTTTATCTGTAGTACAGGTTGCAGATATTTTCCCACTTTGCCACATGCCTTTTTTCACTTTGAAAGCACTTGGTTTTACAGATTCATACAACAGACATCGGACTGATGGTTGCCAGGAGGAAGAGGGGTTGGGGGACTCAGTGAAGGGATTAAGAATTAGAAATTTGTAGTCACAAAATAGCCATGAGGATGTAAAGTACAGCACAGGGAATGTAGTCACTAATATTGCGATGACTGTGTGTGGTGCCAGGTGGGTGCTGGAAATAGCGGGGGACCACTTTGTAAAGCATATGATTGTCTAACCACTATGCTATACGTCTGAAACTAATACAGAATAATATTGAATGTAAACTTTAAATAAATAAAATTTAAAAATAAAAACATTTGGTTTTAGGAAACCATTTTATGGAAAGTAAAAGGCAAATGCTGGAATAAAATCAGCAAATAGTCACAAGATTTTCTAGCTTTCCTTCTAAGTTAAAATCAGTGTCAAGGCCTTTCCTTTCCCTGTCTAGTTTTTCACTGTCAAAGATCAACTCTTGTCTGTTAAAATGAACATCTGTAGTTCCTTCCTAGCTAGCATCCTTTCCCTCTTCTTGCCTTAGACTCCTTCTTGCTTGGGGGGAATCCATTCTGTGCGTGTTGGGCAGATATAACCAGGGTTTGCCGGCTATAGTAAATGATTAAGAGATATAGTAAATCAAGCCCAATGAATCAGGCCTTCTGAAGGGCTTTTTTGTTAAGCTGGTAGGTTGAGAGCCATGGGGAGTTATATCAACACCTGGAGAATGCCTGTCAAGACAGAATGAAAGGGCACAGAACCTGATCACATATTCTGAACACCAGGTGTCAGTCGGTCTACCTACATGAAACAAACGGAACCCTAACCCACTTTATACATTCTTCTATGCTGCTTACGGGAGGTAGTCTGATGTGCGTTTGTGTCACTTGCAACCAAAAGGGCTTAATGGGATTTGTTCTCTGAAACTGTTTAAAATCATTTTTCCCGAAGCCGCCTGGATTTGTTACCTCTTGAGGCCAAAACTCTCTTCCTTCTTTCAGATCTTGCAGATAATCACGAATGATGTTTGTTTTCTGCAGAAACAGGCCCAAAGAGTTGGCACACTTTTGGTCTTCACTGACTAAAGGGTCTTCTAGCTCTGAGGCCACGAACAGTTGAGAAACGCCAATTCCCACCAGCCCGGCAACGTGGTGACAGTACTATAAAAGATTATTTAAAGTGCTTCAATAATAAAAATTTTGCTAAAATGAAAATGCTAGAGATTATAAGCTACAAGAGAACACGTTCCAAATAGAATGTACAAAATCTCATTTTGATTAAAAACACAAATATACACTACAGACATATAAGAAGTAAAAACATCCAAGAAGGATAGACACAAAAGATTTAACAAAAGGGATATCTGACTGGTGCAGTTTTTTCCCCCCCTTGTATTTTCTGTATTTCCACAATGCACATGCACTGCTTCTAGAATAAAAATTATTAAAAAATAAACTAGTAAACTTTTTGATATCCAAAAGTGGGAGTGAAGGCAATGTGGGAATAAAATATATTCTAATAAAAACCAGAATACTGAGTTTAATCTTGAAGACATTTTGAGGTCTTGCAGTCTCTCAAAACCCTTTTTGTACAGAAGAACAAAATACTCCCAGGATGTTCTTGACACTGTTTTAATCACTCTGTATGGGGGGGTGCGGGGAGAGGAGGGGTCCCCTCCCTCCTACCTTGTATTTTGATATTTCGTTTAGTCCCCATGGTCAATTAGGTCGCTTTGTCTGGATAAGTACTCTCCCTGACCCTGAACTCCTACCCTGCCAATATCCTTCACAGCTGCTGGTCAGGAATAAACTCTGGCCAAATAAAAGCCTTTCCCACATAAATTTGTTTGTAATCACAATACAAATTGGGGAATGGGGGCATGTCAAGAAACTTGGAACATCTCATATTGTCTTAGATCTGTGAGGAAAAGATGGGAAAGAAAGAAGTATTAGAGAGATGCTTACCTCTCAGCATAATATACCTATAATCCAAAGTTAACATCTGTGGATTTTCATGAACTACTTTCGTTTCTCAGGAAACAGACACATAATTTAACAGTTTAAAAGTAATCTTGTGTTAAGATGGAACTGGAAATTATTCAGATACTAAGTTTTATACACATATACATACTTGGTAGTGAAAAAGAAAAAATAGCAAAACAAAACAAAACAAAACCCAAAACAAAACCAATTTTTAAGATCTGAAACTAGTATCTCAATATGACATAAGTAATTTCGCCATTTAAGTAAAATTTCACAGCAAATCAGAGACACTTTTATAACCTCTGAGGTAAGTTACATCTACTTACGCTAACTTAACAGTAAACTCTCTACAACATAAATTATTTCAAGTATTAAACTATAAACCTTTATTAAGTGTTTATGACGAATCAGTCAAGCTAAATAGATGGGTTGTAAAATCAGAAAACCAAAATTGGTGGACAACTTTTTCCTCCTTCACAGAGAGGACTGCCAGGTCTGTTTTGTGCACCACACCCTGCTTTACAGGGACACTAACCTCTTCCAACTCCTGTACCGATGTCACCTGCTTAACCACATACTCTGCCATCCCAGATCCCATTCTCTGGCAAATGTCAACAATCACTGTTTGATATCTCACAGGCAGATTTCGAAACTCAAGGGAGATCTGAAATGGAGATATAAAAAACAGAACGTAAGAAATTTGTATTTACACTGGGAACCAATGTGGTACCTAGATCATAAAGCAAAGCAATAGCAGAACATGTTAATTAAGTTCCCAAATGATTCATCTATAAGGCTAATATCTAGATTAGTTTTCTACATCCTGAATAATACACCCAACGAATTTTATAAATATTAAAATGGAAGGTCTAAAAATGGTTGTTTCTAGGCTCAAAGGAAGAGCCAAAGCCTCACTATACACTCATTTTTCTAATAAATGAGATGACCCAACATAAAACGGGGCATAAATGTAAGAACTGAAGGAAAAGTGCCTCATTTCAGCCAAAGCTCGTAAGAGTGATGATTCACTCGGGTTAATGGACCTAGCACTTCCTATGTAATGAGCATGATTTAGACACTGGGGACAGACCGCCAGAAACTCATGCTCCTGCAGAGTTTATGTGCTAGTCAGCAGCCAACCATTTTATATCATCAGTTTCCAGATTTATATCAAGAAGCTATAGTGTCTTCCCCACTATAAAGCCACACTTTTGAACTCTTTAAATAGCTCAGTTTAGTTCATTCTCATGCATGCTACCCAACACTTTCTTCCATAGCCCAAGCTCTAATGTAGAAAAGTACTACTGATGTTTTTAAAATGCACTGCTACTGCAAAATATCTTAAGTTCAAAGTTATCAAAATACAATATAAAAACACCATGAACCTTTAATAAAATGCTGTAAAATATTATTAGACCCAACACACAATACTGAACACAGTGAATAGACTTTAATATGCATCAAAAGAGTGAGCAATACCTGGCCTATGTTTACAGAAGGATTAGAAAAACTTCCCCAGGAAACTCCTAAATTTAAAGGAACTAAGAGAAAACCAGCTGATTGCAGAGCACCAAAAGGATTCAGAAGCCTCAGTTACTTTAGGATTACTCTATGGACCTCAACTGTTAAACCCCTCAAAATTCACAAAATCAACCCAATATTGCCAAAACTCTGTTCTTTCCAGAGCAGCTGTTCCAAGCAGAGCCAAAAAGTAATTCCTGTTGTAGACTGAAACAAATGAGCAAGTCTACCAAAGGTTATTTGGATCCCTGAATCTCCCTAGGATCGGTTCTTTAAACAGATCCTTGGCCAGGTCAGTTCTATTTATAAGAGACAAAAGGTCAGGGAGGTGGGGGAGGAGCAGCAGCTTAGACTCTTACAAACAAACATGCCGAAATAAGCATTTCCCTGCTGAATTTGAACCATCTCCTTCAACAAATCTGTGGTACTTGTTACATAATTATATAAATTTAAAAAATGAAAACAAAAATATCTTGGAAAGAGCAACAAGGAAGAACGCTGTGTTTTCCCAGAACCCTGGTGTGGCCGCGGGGCGAGGGGGGGGGACGGGGGGGGGGGGGGCGGGGGCGGGGGCTGCGAGCACAGCTGACTGCTCCAAACTCAGTGCCCATTTCACATCTAACAGTAACAAGTTCTGCCCAATGAGGCGATCCAGGAGGACCTAGTTTTTATCTTCCAGGGAATCCTGTCTCAAACTACAATAGATTTCCTGGGCATCCCAACAGCAAACATTTCCTTTACTTGAGGTGCACCTTTTGCTCAAGTCACAAGCACAGAGAATGCAATGACTGGGGCTATGTCAAAAAGTTGCTCGAAATGACTCAAAGACTTCTAGAAAGCTCTGAGTGAGTAAAGGAAGGATACCAGGGTGAGTCCACTCGTACAACAGAGAAAAGTGTGAGCTCTAATTCTTCACTTAATTATTTTTCAGATTCTTTTCCTTTCTTCTTCTTTTGTAGTGCATTGTACTGCATCAACATCACCTAATTATTCTTCACCGACTTTTTTGGTTTGTGTTGTAATTATGCTTTTGGCTTTGACACTTAAGACATATTCTCAATAATCTGACATAGCCTTTGCTCCAAAGGAGTCTTTCTCAAACTTTCTTTTGTAATGGGTGGATCCCTCCCTCTCCACTCAGGAATATAGATTTGTTTTAATAGCAAGAGCCTAAATACATACAGACGGGTTCCTGTGGGCTATTAGGAAACATGAGACTTTGCTGAATCAAAACTCTATTTATAAGATATGAAAGAATCACTTATTTGTGTGATAAGACACGCACATTCCAGAAAAGCAGGGCCTAGTCATGTACATCACATAAACCTGTGGGATTTTCTAAAGCTCAAGATTTTAATTATAATCTACTTTACTCCAACAGAATGGACTAAACACCAAATATTTCCAGAATACTTAGTATGTACCAGGTATTATTCTAAGTATTTTACACATATGAACTTATTCAATCCTCACAGTTCTAACTTTACAAATGATAAAACTGAGACACCAAGGAGTTAAGGAAATTGCCCAACATCACACAGCTATAAGCTACAGAGGACCTTCCTGCTTCTGAGTCCTCACCCCAGTGGTTTCCCACACCACAGCTGCTACCCGTCATCAACAGTCCGTCCATGCCACCAGGTTTGGGATACCCAAGAAGGCAGCAGTGCTACATACTCAGGCTGCATTATAGGCAATCGGTTTTGTGGGCTAGCTTGAGATTCCATCCTTTACGACACTAGAACTTGAGTGCATCTTTCCACAGGAGTAAACACGGGACTCCTGAACACTATACCAACAATAATGGTAACTGACACCATTCTAACAGCTTTATTTATATTAACTCTTTTAATCTTCACAACTATACTATGAGGTAAATACTATTACTACCTTTCTGTTACAGATGGAAAAAATTGAGGCACCAGCTGGCTAGGTAAGTAAGCACCAGTTAATAAATGGGAAGTTGGGATTCCAACCCGGGCAGTCTGGCTTAACAATCACATTCTATTGTGCTCCCCTCAGACTGCTTGTTTAACCGTTCTCTGTAGGTATGTAGGCTAGGTCTCATTTCACCATCCATTATAAACACAACTATACGCAGGAGAGATTTGTATTCCACTACCGTTGGGAAGTCCTCTAGCACTTGCCGGTCCCTCTCCTTGCTCTCCATGAACCGCCAGTCAGGTTCATAAAGGTGAGAGTGGAAGTTCTGTAACAGTGGGATCTTTTTTTCTACACTGATGGTCATGTCATCTTCCAGAGTATCCAGAGCACGGAGAACCAGGTAAAATATACATACTGCATGGCTGTAAAAAATGAAGAACTATTAGTACACTGGAACAAACTCTCAGAGATATTTATTTCAAAATAACATCTCATTTATGCCAGGCCATTTTCTAAACCCTCCTATACACCTAACTCTGCAGAACTATGAAAAAATATCCCAAGCCTTTTATACTTCAGATATCTTAGTTTTCCTTTCTTAGATAGCAACAATGGACTGATATAGTTTATTTATATATTAAAAAAAACATCTATTAGCTGACATCACTACTACTCTCACAATGAATTACAATTAACTAATGAAGAACAACTATACAAAGTCCAACAGACCAAATGTTTAGATGAAACTGGTATCCTGCAGATAAAAAAATAAAGTCAAAAGACACAACTTCTCATTATAAATACTATCATACATTAAAGCAATTGGTCTAAATTCATGTATGCATGTAATCTGCACAGAGACACCTTGAGAAGAATTATCCCAGTATACTACAAATATAAAGGAGCGTAAGAAAAATGCATGACCTGCTCAGAGACAGGTTCAGCTGCAAGGACTAAAAAAAGTTAATAAACACCCTCCCCCCCTCCCTTTCCTTGAAAGAGCTGGGCCTGCTGGGACAGCATTAGATGGCAAGGTGCCTGGAAGGGCAGTCTAAAGTAAATAAACACATGGGCGTTCCAACAGGGAACTTTTCCTTTATTTAAGTGGTGCATGTTCTACTTTAACCACAAGCACAGAGAATGCAATGATTGGGGTTATGTGAAAAGAGCTGCTTGGACTAACTCAAAGCCCTCTGCAAAGCTTTCCTCCCTACATCAAAAAGAGCCGCCCTTGACACTCACCGCATTTCTTCATCCAGCTCCTGGATAACAGATGCAAAACTGCGACTGGTCTGCTGCAGATACTTGTAGCAAGTTTTCAAGCTGCTGCTGAGCGAGTCCTGCGGGCAGAGAACACACACGGAGGTAGCAGACGTCGAGAAGTAGGAGTGGGACTGGAGCAGGCGGCAGGCAGCCGCAGGGCTCAGTAGCCGAACGCAGACACCCTCTCCCCGCGGCCAGTCTTTGGAGAGCCAGGTGGCCAAAGGCAAGGGGCAGCAGCGCCGGGGAGTGCCTGTGCCCCGGGGCGCCACGGCGGGGCTCAGCACAAAGGTCCGCTTGAAAAGGAACATGGCCTTGGCGCCGCAAGCGGCTGCGGCCATGAAAAATGAGGCTCCAGCGCCAAGTTTCTCCTCCATAGACCCGAGTGGAGCTGGGCGACGGCCACCGAGGGGGCGGGGCAGGCTCTCCCTCCACCCCAAAAGACTCTGGACTGGTGGTGCTGCGTGCGCCCGCCCCGCCCACCCCCACGTGAGGACCGCTGAGCACCAGGAGATGGGCCCCACCCCTCGGCCTCCGGCGAGCAACTGCTCCTCCCCAGAACCCAAAGGCTGCTACCTCCCCTTGCACAGTCCACTAGTAAGGAGCTTGCTTTTACCTCCTGTGACTGCATCTCTCCTTGATCAAACTTTAGTCAAGCTCCCTTGAATCCTCCACTTCTGCGCTTGTGTGTCTATCTCTGCATCACACACAATTTTAGCTAAAATGCAACTCCCCAAACCCGGATACCTCATCAACATGTCTGATGGGACCCCTCCTCCAACATCCCATTGCTCCGGCCTGTCTCCAGCAAGAACCCCTTTAGGTCGCTGTGCCAGTCCTTGTCCCAGATCCCAGATGTTTCCTTGGAAATTTTCCCTCCACTCTGCCTGCTCCTTGGCTATAAATCCCCGCTTTTCCTTGTATTAGGAATTGAGCCCAGGTCTATAACTGAGGTCTCTTTCCCCTATTGCAATAGCTTTTCTGAATAAAATTTGTTTTTATCGCTTTAACTACTGTTCAGCTGTGTTTTCTTTAACACCTGGTAAACCGATACTAGTTTCTGGAAAACTAGTTTTCCTCTTAAAATTTCTAATTGTCTTTTCCCTTGCAAATCTGAGCTGTAATGAGCTGCTTCCTAAACTTTATTATTCCCTAAGGAACACAAGAACTGTTTTTCCAGGGGTGGGGGGGGGGGGGGGGGGAACATTCTGATATACAAGCATATCAGAACTGCTGTGTATTTTATAGACTTTATATTTTAGGGCAGTTTTATATTTACAGGAAAACTAAATCAAAAGTATAGTTCCCATATACACTCCTACATGCCCCCAATCTTCCCCATTCTCTTTTAAAAACAGAAATGGAAAATATTTGAATTACCTAACAGGGGAGTGGTTAAAAAAATACAATATGGCATATCCATCATAAATCCCATAGTCACATTGGAATGATAACCCTGGCTGGGGGAGGGGGGTGCATCTAGGTAAACTATGTTCTTTTTATTTGTATACATCTTCTAAATTTCCTACCATGGATGCGTATTATTTTGCAAAAAAAGTAAAGCTTTTTTTAAAAAAAAAATCACACAATCAGGAGAATTTAATTTTATTGCCATGTTCAACAAAAATTATTAGTAAAAATATATACTGAGGATCTTAGTAGAATCAAATACTCAGTGATGGTTTGATTAATAAATAAAAATATTCCTAGCATATTTAAAAGCAATTCACAAACTCCTTTCCAGGACTTCACAATAAAATAAAAGAAAGAGAATGAGCTATTTACTAAGCTCCCTGACAGCTCTTCCCATAAACTGCTGTTATCAGGCTTCTATGATTCCTTTCTGCACTGCCACATGTTTAATCCTCAGCGAAATCTAATGGTTTAAAGGCTGATGTCTAACTGCAAGTTTCAATAAACGAATAAACGCAATGGTGCAGTCACTGGTTCTGAAGAGCAACACTCTCAAAGGACACACTACCTCTTCTTTCCAGCACACCGGCACTCTCAAAAGGCGATCGAGGTCAATAAATCACATCCCTATCTCCTTCTAGTACATATTTGTTTTAATACCTCACTGTGAAACAATAAATGTTCTCAAATTATCAAGATACAGGAAGATAAAACTATTAAACACGCTATGGAAAACACTACTCACTAAAAATTTCCACTGCTCGATTCCTCTAAGTTCAGGAAAAGAAAAAAAAAAAAAGGGCTGGAGCTTCTGCTGTCTATTCCTAGGGCCCCCTGCTGTTTACCATGGCTGAAATTCAGTGCACTCCCAAGACCTCTCAGTGAGAACCAACAGGAAGGAAGGGCACTCAGAAGAAACACCTCGGGCGGCTAGAAGTACAAGTCTGAACTCCTAGGCCTGGGGTTCCAGTCTCAAGCTGAAAGACAGTTGTACAAGTGAAAAGCTACCTATGTGTTACCTAAACTCTTACCAGTCTTCCATTAAGACTTTAGGTAATACAGGTTCCCTCAGAAGGGAGGAAAAAACCTACAAACTTGAGAACTGAATATACGTGACAAGATTAATAACTACCATTTATTGGGCAGCTACATGCTGAGCACAATATGAACATTATTATAAGTCCTCAACCTGCTGTACCTTTTTAATCCTGATAAACCCAACCACAATCCACCTGAAATCTTCATGGCCAGGTATGAAGCAGAATTCAGAATTTTTTGTGTTTTAGAAAACAGGCAATAAAGTGTATATACAGCCACACTCATTGTGGAGTAGCAGCCCATAACTGATCTGAACATTTCTTCAGCAAAATGTTTGAATATTTATACTAACTGGGGTCACATCAATTGAGAGCACTTTTTTTTTTTTTGTTACAAAATAACCTTGAGCCAGATTTATTAAAAAGCTCTTTGTTTTCAGACCATTTTGGAGTTGGGGAATGTGCTTAAGGGATTGTGATCTGGTATCTATTTTACAGATGAACGGACTGTTGCTCTGAGGTTCAATTACCAAAAGTTATTCAGTTAATTGAGTCAGGGTTTAGATGTAATAAACTTAAGATATTAGTCTAAATATAGGACTGGAGCTTGACAGAAGCCAGAACTGTATATTTACAAAACACCTACTGTTCCCATTATGTGCCCCCACAGCGATGTCACAGCTTCAGGTGGCAGTGTGCCCCTAGATTTACTGATGTGCTCCTAAAATGTCAATATATATCAAGTTTACTGAACTCTGGATTCCTAGAGACAAATCCTTCTGATAGAAATAACCAGCCCTTAATATCTGGTAAGTGCATTTCCCCTCCCCACCCCCAGCATTTTTGTTATTTAAGAGAGAAACTAAGATGTTAAGTGAAGGAAAACAGTTTTTTCTGTTTGCTCTAATTTGAGATACATTCAAGTATATTTTTAAATGGCTCACAGGGGTTAAAAAGGGGTCAGAAAAGCTGCAACTAACAAAACAAATAATGTCGTGCGGTGCTGTTCATCAAATAAATCGCAGAGCTAGAAAAGGGACTTGCCCAAGTGTCTTTTAAAAAATTTCAAAAGATGATACTGTGAAAAGTTTTTCTCCTACCCCTTTACCATGGCCACCCATTTATTTCTCTAGAGGTAACCAATGCCACCATTTTCCCAAATAGTCTCATTTTATAGTAAGAAAAATGAGACACAGAGAAGAAGTCCAGTCTCTGGACCCAAATCTGAACACTACAATTTGTTTCCCCTGACTTCAGACACTCAGATCTCTGGCCCTATTATTTTTCTTTGTAGTACTTACCTCCATGTGAAATATTGTATATTTGCTTTTTTTTCATTCTCTCTTCCACTACAACGTAAGGTTCATAAAAGAAAGGTCTTCACCTATCTTGTTCACTGCTATTATCTCCAGTTGTGGAAGGAAGGAAGGAAGGAAGGAAGGGAGGGAGGGAGGGAGGGAGGGAGGGAGGGAGGACTAAGAGGGAGGGAGGGAAGCTAAAGCACAGCAGAAGTGGGAAGGGAAGAAAGCCACTAAGAATCGTAGAATGCCTGTTACGAGGTGGGAGCACATGTGACAGTGCCTGGCACTTGATCAGCTGTCTGGGACCCGTCAAAACCTATGCTCTTTATCCCACCCAGGTGGCCTCCAAACTAGAAGCATGGAGGTCTTCAGACGAGCTTGAGTTGGCATTCTAGAGCCACCACAAAGGAGCTGTGTGACCCACAAAAGTTATTTAATTACTTTATGCCATTTCCTAATCCGTAAAATGGCCGTAATTATAGGGCTATCTCTTTAGGGTTGTTGTCAAGATCGACTAGTGTGGTGTATTATAAAATAGCTGCAAAATTTGTGTGGCTTTTTTGGTTAGGAGATGGGACCTTTCTCCATCTCCTCTGGGCTTCCCTTGTGACTTTTTGGCCAAGAAGTAGCAAATGTAACTCAAGCAGAGGCTTGAAAAGTGCATGTACACTGAGCTTTGTGCTCTTGCAGTCACCATGTGAAGAGTCTGGGACTCGCCTGCTGTATGTGACACATATGGCCCAGTCTGCTAACCATCGGGTTGTCCAGCCATAAGCCAAATGGGTCAGCTAAGTAGACCCAGTTGGAATCAAGCAAGCTGGCCCAGACATCCCCAGTTCTAGAGATTTGTGAACTCAGTTACAGTTGTCATTTTAAGTCATTGTTTGTTTTTAATTGTGGTAAATATGCATAATATAAAATTTACTATCTTGAACATTTTTAAGTGTGCAGTTTAGTACTGTTAAGTGCATTCACATTGCCATGCAACCAATCTTCAGAAGTGAGCCACCTCGTTTTGGGGCTTCTTACTCAATGGAAGCTCATTCATATGCTGAGGGTAATAGACTTCCAAAGTTTAGCACAGTGCCTAGGACACTCAGGAACTCAACAAATGCTGACTATTATTAATATCATTAATTTGATTACTCTCACAATATAATCTCTTAATTCTACTCTTCTACCAGATGAGTATTTTGAAAACACTGCTTTCATCATGACATAGTTCTGCTTTTAACCATAACCTGTTTAACCGAATACAGCTCAACTGTAGTATCCCCCACCAACACTTACTCAACTTAATGCTTACAGTTTACATTCTTCAGTTCCAGCCAGGTTTGGTTCCATATCATTCCACATGCTTCTTGCACAATCCTACCTACAAGACTCAGCTCATGCTGACTCTTTCCAACGAGGACCCTCCCTACTAATCTAAAGCTGATACTTCTTCAAGGCCCTATGCCTTCCAAAGCATGTTTTCTGAAAAATTTTCACTGTACAAATGGTTTTTACACTTCAGTAAAACTTCCTGAAATCAAAATGTCCTTAAGATTACTTGGCACTTCCTACATTATCTTACTTTTGTACACCTATTCTACATTAGACTGTGTTTAGTGTAGGCATTTTCCACTTTGTGTCCATCACACAAAAGTGTATTCAACTTTCAGCTGAACAA